CGAAAGTAAGTGAAGGCCTATTTAATTTTTAGTTTGTTCGAAGATTTTGCCATGCTTGGAAGGTTTTGAGAGAAGGCGATTGGATAAGAGATTTAATCGAAGCCATCTGCTATTATCAGAGGCCTTCTACTGATAATAGCAGATGTCTTTCTTATTAAGATTAGTCTGTGGATCTTCTGTTGAAGATTTTGCAACGTTCGAACGGTTTGATGAAGGAGGAATAAGCTGTACACAAAAAAGAAGAAACCTGGCAAGAACCTCTGAGAAATTCTTTAAAGCTTTCCGATATAATCAGATAAGTTGTACGGGAAGGAAAGACTGGACAATAGATCTTCGAGGGATTTATCGAAGCCTGCTGTTATCAGTGGTCTTCTATTGCCAATATTTTGTATTTGTGTCTTTAGATCTCAGGCTAGCCTTCACAGATCTTCTGTGATGAATATTTTGCAAGGTTCGAACGGTTTGATGAAGGAGGAAAAAGTAGTAGAGAAAGGAGAAAGCTGACAAAAACCTCTGAGAAATTCTTCGAAGCCTTCCGATATAATCATATTATATCAAAAATCTCAGAAATGTCTGCAGATTCCCTAGCTCTCTATGCTAGTCATTAGAAGCATTCCGCAGGAATTAGAAAACTATTTCGTAACAGAGAAGCTTCTGTTAGTAACAGAGAACATGTTGCCAACAACAGTGAACCTTCTGTTAGTAGCAGAGAACGTTCTGTTAGTGGTTGTGGAAGGAGGAAATAAGTTGTACGGGAAGGAGAGACTGGACAAGAGATCTTCGTGGGATTTTATCGAAGCCTGCTGTTATCAGTGGTCTTCTATAGCCAATATTTTGTATTTGTGTCTTTAGAGCACAGACTAGCCTTCACAGATCTTCTGTGATGGAGATTTTGCAAGGTCTGAACGGTGTGAAGGAGGAATAAGTTGTTCAGAAAGGAGTAACTTGACTAGAACCGTTGAAAAATTTGTTAAATCCTTCCGCTATAATCAAAGGCCTTCTGCTGTCTTATCGATAACCTCAAAAGTTTATTTTAGCTTTCGAAGTCATCAGAGGCCTTTATTGCTTGCGAAATTCCGATGTTCATATTTTTTGGACAGAAATTGTATTTGCCATCTCTTTGCGAATTGTCAGCATGTTCAAAATTCTTCTATCCGATTTTTTATATTTTCTTAAAATTTGGTCGTAACGTGTTTTAAGATCACAGGATAGCCTTCAGAGATCTTCTTTCATGTTTGGAAGGTTTAGATGCGCGAGAAAGAATGTGTACTAGAAGAAGATGTCGGAGAATTTTCTCCTACGTTCAGTACGGTGCCAATTGAGATCTCTGAGGCTATTCGTATGTTCGCAGAGTCCATACAAAAAACCTGAGAGTCTCTAGGACACTGTACATTCTCAGGGACAGAAAGGACCATATAAACGTCGTATTATTATAGAATTCTACTGTTAGTCACAGAGGTCTTTCAGGATGTTTCCCTAAAATATTTGACAACACCAGTAAGGAGAAGCTACCATCAATGTACCTACGCGACCCTAGGTAATAATTTAAATTTCATATAGAAATCTCAGAGACGTTGAGACACTGTACAGAAGTCCTCAGATGTATTCGCTGGTACTGAATACCCTTCGTAAGCCTTAACAGAGACCCTTTTGTTATCTTCAATGGTATCATATCTTCAAAATGGTAGCATCACATTTCCGAGATCGTCGGGTTTCACGTTGCGAACATTGTTTTCATATAATAAAGATAGTGAATATCTGCAGAGAAAGCCCAGGCAACAGAAAATTCATGGGAAAAGAGGAGAAGGAACCTTTAAAAGAACTGACTCTTTCGGAGAAGACACATGGAGCAGTAGATGTGGAGCAGGATAGTTTTGCTCAAGCAAGTGGTCGCCAATGCCGCAAACATTATGGCAGCGAACCACACCTCGAAATTCAAATGAGGCATTCAAATGCTTTCGATTAGTATAGGGTCGATCCTGGAAGATTCTCTGATATGTTGAAAAGACTTTAGAGGTTTTCTGACGTATTAAGAATACGATAGAGGCCTCAGGCTGCTATTTGAAAGGTTTCTTATAGGGGAAATCTCTCTGTTAGTACATGGAAAATCTCGGAACACTCGGACTGTATTCATTTTAAATTCGAGCATTGTCGGAATTACAGATGGTTTACACATTCTTCAAAGTTTGGATCTGAAAATAATATAGATGCTCTCGCCGATGCTCTGGCTGCGAACCACACTGCGAAATCCTGTGGTGTGCAAATAAAGAAGCTGTCTGAAGAATTGGCACTTTCGGAGTAGGCACGAGAAACAGCAGAGGCCGAACACGATAAGTTGGCCAGACTATTGGTTGTCAATGCCAGTAAGGAGCTTGTAATGAACAATGGTGAGGCTGATGCGAACCCTGTTATGGAACAAGGTCCGGCTGGGAAGTTGAAGACGGTGAACAAGGAGCCGGTCCACAAAAGAAGCCTTGGTGTGAACTGTGCGTCGCTAGTGGGTAGTTGTTTTGCCGGTAGAAAGATGAAACTGGCGGAAAATGGCGGTGAACCCAAAACAAAATATGATTGTGGTGGTAAGCAGAAGTAGAAAGATGAAACTGGCGGAAAATGGCGGTGAACCCAAAACAAAATATGATTGTGGTGGTAAGCAGAAGTCGTTAGTTACGGATGTTCTGATCAGGAAAATTGCGGCTTTAAATCATAAAACTGCGACCGGGAAGATGAAACCCGTTAACAAAGGTGCATTTCAGCATAAGAAGGAAGTGGTAGCTATGACGAAATTTGACGATGATACCGTCAATAAGACGAAGACAGCGGTCAAAGATACTGAGCCGCCAAAAAAGAGCGACTATATATGATGAATAGGTTTATGGATGTGCCGCCGTGGACGATGAAGAAGACGGCCAAACGCAGCGATCAGTCAGTGGGAGATGTGGACGGTGTGAAGCTGAAGAAGGGAATAGCCGATGGTCCAGCCTTGATGGTGAAACGAGAGGGCACAAATTCGGAGAAGCTGATGAAGACTATGGCCAATGGTTCGGGCTGGAAGAAGAAGCCGCAGACAAAGGTGAATGCCCCCTTTGGAGAAGTTGGTTGGAGAGATGGCGGTGGTACCTAGATGCGAGCACCTAGCTGTTTTTTGATAAGAAAGCTGTCTAAGATGCTCTAAGATAGATTAAGTCATATTGTCATACTTAGTTCTTATGCAATACTTTTTATATTAATAAATGAGTGTGTAAATGCACACTAGGAAGTATGTCCTTGCTGGAAAACGGAAAAGATTCAATTGTTTATCAGCTCCTATTATTATATGAAATACCGCGGGACACAGGAGATCTTGTTTTCCAAGGATCTCAAGTTCGCCAAGAGTTTTTGTAGTGAACAAAAGTCCTCAAAGACCCCCGATTACTTCATTAAATACCTCAGTGGCGTATAGGAGACTTGCCGAAGTATTCAGAAGGTTTCGACTGCCTCCTTTTTTCTACACTTTAGAGAATACGTATGTCTGAGAAATAGAATTGTATTGTCCCAGAGACCTTCATAGAGTTCGTCCGCAATTTTAAGTATGTATAAGGCAGTGGAGGCCATATGCAGAAGATCTTTGGGTCCTTCTGCTCATGTAGTATATGGAAGAGTTCAAACGTCTACAGATTCTTCCTCATAATATACAGAAGTCCTCAGAAGCTCTTATGCAAAATACAGAAGACTTTGGAAGCTTTGTGGTATTCAAAATACTTTAGATACCTTTTTGTCATTCAAGAGAACTCAGAGGCCATTTGTAGCATCCAGAAGTCATTGGGGACTATCAAGGTCCTTCGGATCATAAACAAATCATCATAAGACTTCAGTTCTTCTGTTCATAGCCCTTCTGTAAAATACAGAAGATTTCGAAAGCCTTCATGCAGTATAAGGAAGACTTCAACGTGCTTATTTTACCATTCGAGAGAACTCAGAGGTCGTTTCTAGCATTTCGAAGTCGCTGAAGACTTTATTGAATATTTCAGGGCCATTGCTCTCATCTACAAAATTTCATAGGAACTATTATGCAGAAAACCTCGGGATCTTTCTCAGAAGACTTCGAAGGCCTTCATGTAATATACAGAAGACTTCAATTACCATACCTATGGAAGTGTTTAAAAGTCTGTGGTTAGTAAGCACAGCCTACAGAAGTCCTCAGAAGTTATTTTGTAATATACCGAAGGTATTCGGAATCCTTCCAAGAGGTCATTCCGAAGTCGTTGGAGGCTTTCTACAGAAAAATCCCCCTTTAACTATTCAGACGAGGCCTTCAGATGGATCCGATTAGTATAGAAAAGAGCCCGAGAGACCCTCTGCAATGTCAGATGTATCCGATTAGTATAGAAAAGAGCCCGAGAGATCCTCTGCAATGTTACAAAGATTGCGGAGATTTTCTACAGTAAAATGTAGGGGTCTGTGGTTGCTATTTTAAAGGTTGTGGAGGTATAGGGAAAACTTCGGAACAATCGGACCTTATTAAAAAAAACTTCAAAGGCTTCAGTGACCTTAAATCCCCCAAGAGAACTCGAATACCGTGTTTAGCATTCCGAACTCGTTGTAGACTTTTAGACCTTCTCTGGCATTCATATGCTTTCGATTAGTATAGGATGGTGCTAGTGAAGCCATCTGCAATGTAGCAAAGACTTCGGAGATTTTCTGCAGGATAATGAAAGGCAGTAGAGACTTCCCGCAACTATTTGAAAGGTTTCGGTGTCATAGTGTTAGTCATTTGAATGATTCCCATTATGTCGAGATTTCAGAAGATTTACACATTTCAGAAGGGTTATGTGTACACATTATATATCAGAAGGGTTACACATTATATCTAGATATTTTCGATGTTCTTGCATATGACAAAGTTGTATCCCCGCTCATTGTGCCACCAATGACCTAATGTCCTTCCCTTAGGAAATTTCCAAATTTCTCCCTGATTTTTATCTTAAACTAATTTAAATTTCTCTAAGAAAATGAAAACTTACCTGCATGAACACGTCTGCCTCACTGAATCCTGAGCCGCATTTGCAACGCTACCCGAACCATTAACCGGCAGCGGGGAACCCGAGTGATTGCGATTGAAGGCACCAAGCCAATTTTTAATGGGATTTTGTCGAGCGGTAGCCGCCATCATGTGAAGACCTTTGGGGCTGTTGCGATGCAACTTCTTGGTGGCGGACTTTTCAGCAAATTGTTGTTGCAATTGTGTGTCATGATGATATTTTCCAGGTGTGGCAAAGCTACTCAATTCAGCTGATGGCGATAATAATGACGATGATGTGTTACTGTTGCTGGATTCCGCTGACACCATCATCGTCATTAGCAGCAGCGTGTTGACGATGGAGGAAACTATTAGAAGTTGCACAAATTGTGTGAACCGAAGCATTTTTGCACTTGGGTGTGTTGCACTTTTTGTTGTTTTTGTTGGCAGGAAATTATTTTTTGTTGCAGAAAAAAATTCTTGGTTGAGATATTTTTTTATTTACTTCGGGTAACCGGTTTTTGGACTTGCACATATGCTTTTCTTGTGCCTTGGTTCTTTCACTTCTTTTGAAGGTGTCACGTTTAGTTTGAACAGAATATTTAAATGAAAAAAATCACAGTTAATTAGTTATGGACATGACATGGCATGTCTGTGTGGTATACCGGTACCGTTAACAGTTCGATATTAAACGCTTTCCAAAAACAAATTACCGATGGTTGATTTATTTTTATTTTTTGTTGTTTTTGTTATATATATTTTTTTGTAATTAATCACACGCGATGCTGGGTTTTGGGATCAAATTTGAACTGCAGAACCTTTGTTTTTTATATGTGACGATTTTTTTAGGTTATTAATTTTTATCACATTTTTATGAACACTTTTTTAAAGTTTCGGATTTCTTTATGTTTTATAGTCTGTGAAGGGTGATCTGCAATCAAAGAAAAATATAAATTTTAAAATAAATATGTATTTCGGATCAACAAGGGCTGCGGGTTTCGTCAATTTGACCGCACGATCCGGAAAGCCTAAAATTCGTTCGGAACCGATCATTGTTATAAAGAAGAACGCAGACGACTTATGTTGCCATATTGGTAACCTCAGGGACCATCCATTAAAGTACACAAGTTCCTAGATGCATCTTCAGGATATAAAATAGCTTAAAGGTATTTGTAAACCATGAAGAGCCCTCTCATAGCCTACAGAAGTCCTCAGAGTTCATGCAGAATACTTCGGAGGCATACTGTAGAATCCAGAAGACTTCAGAGGCTATCGCGTAGTGTATGAAAGACATCAGCCAGCTTGTTTTGTCATTCAATAGAAATCACAGCCCATCTGTAGTATGAACTTTGGAGACATTCAGTGCCTTTCTTTTTCCTTTTGAAGAGTATGCGGGAACCTACTGTCTTCGAAAGTTTCTGTACTTTGTGAAAGACTGCAGAGTCGGTCAATTGTGCTGTTTTTCAATGGAACGTTGAAAGAATTCTTCAATTGATATACAGATGACCTCAGATGCTTTATGTTATCGAATAAGTGGCGTAGGGTACTTCCTTCTATTATCCATAAGATCTTAGGTTCCTTACGATAATATATCAAATGAGATTAGTGGCTTCAGACCTCAAACGTCTGTGGACACTCTGCAAAATATCTCAGAGTCCTTCTGTGGGATACAGATGACCTCACTGTACTTCTGCAGTACACAAAAACTTCGTTGGCCTTTATGAAGTAGAGGTAAGACCTCAGTGACCTTCTTTATTGCTTTAAAAATGACTCAGATCGCATTTGGTTTCTGCCAGCTACTTCCAGTTATTATACAGAGAAACTTATTTTACTGCCGATAATACACAAAAGAGCTTATGCACTTTCCGATAATACACATCAGCATATGCAGGAGCTTTAATTATATACTATTCAGAATTCTTCATAGATCTCCCGCAGGAAATATAAGTCCTGAAAAGTCTTCTGTAATTTACAGACGACTTTTGAGACTAATGAAATATACTGAAGTCTTTTTTTATACCCTTCACCACAGTGTGGTACAGGGTATTATGTCTTTGTGCATATGTTTGTAACAGGCAAAAATAATCGAGATAGACCCATGGTTCCTTTTGAGAATATGCATAGAATCACTTTCTGAGTCGATGTATGCATGTCCGTCCGTCTGTCTGTGCATGTTAAATTGTAAACAAAGTACAGGTCGCATTTATGATCCAAATTGGATGAAATTTAGCATAGGTCACTTATTCGGCCCAAGGACGAACCCTATTGAAATTGGGAAAAATCGGTTCAGATTTAGATACAGCTCCCATATATATATTTAACCGATTTAATGTAAACGGTCCCTATATATCTTTCGATTTGCACGAAATTGGGAAAAATCGGTTCAGATTTAGATATAGCTCCCATATATATATTTAACCGATTTAATGTAAACGGTCCCTATATATCATTCGATTTGCACGAAATTTGGTACAGTCTAATCATTTAGGTCTAGAATTATGTCTGCCAAGTTTGGAGAAAATCGGTTCATATTTAGATATACCTCCCATATATAGTTTCGTCCGATTTCAGTAAATGGTGCCCCAAAGTCCCAACATATCTTTCGATTTGCACGAAATTTGGCATAACGTACTGAATTAAGCCTAGAGTGGTGTCTGCCAAGTTTCGAGAAAATCGGTACAGATTTAGATATAGCTCCCATATATAGTTCCGTCCGATTTCATGTAAATGGTGCCCAAAGTCCCTATATATCCTTCGATTTGCACGAAATTTGGCATAACGTACGGAATTGAGTCTAGAATGATGTCTGCCAAGTTTCGTGAAAATCGGTCCAGATTTCTATATAGCTCCCATATATAGTGTCGTCCGATTTCATGTAAATGGTGCACCAAAGTCGCTATATATCTTTCGATTTGCACGAAATTTGGCATAACGTACTGAATTGAGTCTAGAATGATGTCTGCCAAGTTTCGTGAAAATCGGTCAAGATTTAGATATAGCTCCCATATATAGTTTCGTCCGATTTCATATAAATGGTGCACCAAAGTCCCTGTATATCCTTCGATTTGCACGAAATTTGGCATAACGTACTGAATTGAGCCTAGAGTGATGTCTGCCTTGTTTCGTGAAAATCGGTCCAGATTTAGATATAGTTCCCTTTTATTATAGATTGATTTTAAGTAATTGACGCACCAAGGAACCAATAGGCTGATAGCACAACGATAACCTAAGCTTGGACAATATTAGTTGTTAAAAGTTCTGTGTTCGGATAGTGAACATAAATTGTATTTGAGAGTAGCCAGATGAGAGATGACTGGTTACAGGGCCTACTTATATGCGCCAAGACCTTTGGTAGCTTCTCCAAAATAGTTGATCTGCAACTCTCATTGTAAATTCAGCTCGTGTCTCCAATAGAGATTTCTGGGAGCCTTTCAACATTACAACATTGTTTTTAGATCTACACTCTACATTATCCGCTCACTACCTTAAATAGGTTGGGTTGGGGAAAAGAAATCCCCCAATTTTATAAGAACTATAGGACTTTATTTAACATGCTTCGGAATGCCCGATTTGGGTCAAATATGCACCATTTTGTTGTATGATTTGTTGCCATTTTAAAGGTAAACTTCGATCATTTCTCCGATTCGTGAAGGAAATCTACGAAACTAAAAATTTCACATAATTGGCTGTTGCAGTGTCGGAACCATAAACACTATTCACAATTTTAGCCGCTTACCTTGGATTTTCGCCTTTGTCAAGGAAAACCTGTAAAATGTACCGAATTTTTTCTTTGTTCACTTCGATTTTTAGCACCCCGAATAATTTTTTTTACTGCGAAATGTTACCCTTCCAACGAGCATAAATCTGAAATTGTTTGATCGATACTTTACGAGAAATCTATAAGAACAGTCATCTGCCGAAAAAATAATGGATTTCTTTTTCCCCAAACTAATCCTTCTGATGTAGACAGGTGACTTGGAAGGCCTTTTATTACAATCGGAAGATATCTTTAAGGTATACTTCCCATATAGATTTAACCTCCGATTTTCGGTATTATGGAGATTTCAGACAAGTGTTTCAACTAAATTAGCTGTAATTTGATATTATGGGTTCTCATTGGATAGCAAATTTCAAACCTAAAAACTACTAATGTAGCTCCACTTTTAGGTATAGCTTCGATATGGAGGTACATCTCTGATTTTCTATATATTGTGAGGACTTTAGACACGTTTTTCAATTTATGAGGCTGTAATTTGGTAATTTTGGGTTCTCTTTGGGCTGTAAATCTCCAAACTAAAAATGATCAATTTATCTCCACTAAAATTTTTTCAGCCGAATTGCCTCTGATTTACAATTTAGGTTCTTATTGGGGAGTAAATGATTCTCCGATTTTCGATATTTTAAGGATTTCAGGCATGTTTTTCAACGGAGTTTACTGCAGTTTGGAATTTTGGTTTATTATTCGGTGATACATTTTTTACTAAAAAAATATTAATAATATATGCGTACGTCCATGGTACCCTCCGATTTTCGATATTTTGAGTATTTCTGAAACGTTGTACAACCAATTTGGCTCTAATTTGATATTTGGGGTTCTAATTGGGTAGAACATCTGTCCACCAAAAATGATCAATATCGGTGCATGTTCAGGTATAGCACCCATATATTGGTTACCTCCGATTTTCGATATTTTGAGGATTTTGGGCACGTTCTTCAAACGATTTGATTGAAATTTGATATTATGGGTTATCATTGCGGGATAAATGAGTTAACCGAAAGTCATCAATATCAATCCACTTTAAAGTATGGGCCCCATATAGCAAACCCCAAAATTTCGGTATTTTTAGGGAGCTTGGACACATTTTTGAACCGAATTGGCTCTAATTTCATAGTTTGAGCTAAAATTGGGTGGCAAATCTTTTTAACAAAAATTATAAATATTGGACGATATTTGGTTATAGCCCTCATATAGAGGTACCGTCCGATTTTCGGTATTTTGAGGATTTTTGACATGTTTATCAATTGAATAGGCTGTAATTTGGTATTTTGGGTTCTCACTGGGTGATAAATGTTTCTACCGAAATTTGTTAATATCGGTGCACTTTTAGTTATAGCTCCCATATAGAGGTGCTCGCCGATTTTCAGAATTTTTAGGATTTCAGATATATTTTTTTGGCCGAATTGGTTGTAATTTGGTATATTGGGGTTCTCATTGGGTAGAACATCTACCCACCAAAAATGATCAATATCGGTGCATGTTTAAGTATAGCACCCATATAGAGGTACCCTCCGATTTTCGATATTTTGAGGATTTTGGGCACGTTCTTCAA